GAGCCGCTCCCCACCCCCCGGGGAGGGGGGAGGAGGAGGAGGAGGAGCTGGGCGTGGACAGAGGGGCTGCGGGGCGGAGGGGGGCCGAGCGCACAGTGGCCACGCAGTGCGCTTGGCACTTTCCAAAGCGCGAACTGTGGCCGGTGTCCAGGGCTCCGAGGCCAGCGCCTAGGGCGGAGGGTCTGGGGGGAGGGAAGGTAGATGGGAGGGCCTGGGGGTGCCTACACCAAGCCGGGATTCCCCGCCCGCTGTGGCCGCTGAGCCCGCCAGGGTGACTGGGAACTCCGATACAAAAGCCGCAGCCTCAGGCCTGCGGGACCCTCTGCAACTCGGGGGGCCACGTAGGGGCCACGAGGGCGCAAGGGCAGACACCACATCCTTCCCATTCTCTGGAGCACCTGCTGCACCCAAGCGTCCACCTCACTCAGTCATCCAGCCCACCTCTCCTAGCTGAGTGGGGCCAGACCCTGTGCTGGGCCCTGGGAGGAACAGCACTGTGGAAACTCACGTTCTAGCTGGAAGTCAGGTGCAAAACTGCCCTCTGCGCAGTCCGCCTGCTCTGCTGGGGGTAGGAATCCCATGTAAGGACATTCCTTCACTGCTTGCCCCACCCCCAGGTCCCAATATGAACAAATAGCCATTTCTCTCCTTCCCCTTAACAGAATCGATTTTTTAAAAAACTGTATACAGGCTGGCCAGTTAGCTCGGTTAGAGTGCGGTGTTATAACACCAAGGTCAAGGGTTCGGATCCCTATATCCACCAGGCACTAGAAAAAAACAAAACAAAATAAAGAAGTTGGATTAAAAAAAAAACTGTTTACAATAGCTCCAGCTACCACATGGACCCAGAGGGCACAGAGTTTGGGCATCAGAGGATCCAGGATCCCTCAGGGACTGTTTTCACGGTGCCAGCATAGGGAGATTTGAATGTGTACCTGGTGTTTGCCATAAGGCTTCTCGAATAGCAAATGTTATCTGGACCTAAATGGCCATCACAGCTAAGGCTGGAACTCCCAGAACATTTACCTTTGAAGGAATGAGGAAGCAAGAGAAGGCACACATGCAGCCGTGGGTCAAGTTCAGGGGCACATCAGCCCTAATCCAAGGTGGTCTGTAGTCAATAGGAAAACCCAGGAGCTCCTGAGAGGATCGACAGGGCAGAGTTTGGACCCTGGGTGAAAGGGGAAGAGGAAGTCAGTCAAGAAGCACTCGGACCCTGAAACCAGCCCTGGGCCAGCATGAGCAGGCAGCAGCCAGGGAGACTGGAGTGGGGGTGCTGGGCTCAGGACCTCAGGGAGGCTTAACCTAGCCTCTCAGAGCAGCCCCCCAATTCCCAACAGCCAGGGCCCCATGTGAGCCAGCCTCTGCCTGCCATGTGTCCCCAGGCTGGTCCTGGAGGCTGCCAGGATGAAGCAAACTCTTACCCACCACTGTCCTCTTCAAACCTCTGAATCATCATTCTCAAAACTTTTTCAGAGAATTTGCTCCATTGCCCCCAGTTGAGTGTGTCAGGCCGGGAGGCCCGAGGCTGGTGAGGGACTGTGAAACGTCACTTCCCTGGGAACAGCTCTCCCATGGATTGGATTTGGGCCCAACCTCCTGTGCTGGGGAAAAGAGAAATTAAGAAAACAAGAAGTGGGGCCGGCCCATGGCTCACTCGGTAGAGTGCGGTACTGATAACACCAAGGCTGCAGGTTCGGATCCTATATAGGGATGGCTGGTTTGCTCACTGGCTGAGCATGGTGCTAACAACACCAAGTCAAGGGTTGAGATCCCCTTACCGGTCATCTTTTTAAAAAAAAGAAAACAAGAAGGAATAGAAAGAGCCTTTTCCTTGGCCCCAGTGAATCACCAACAGGAACATGAGTGACAGCCCTCCTGGGGACCTGGGCTCGGGTAAAGCCAAGGGGCTGGAGGCCCTCTATCCCCGAGGGTCTGGGCAGGTGGAAGGGGCCAACTGCTGTTCATGCCAGGTTGGTGTGCCTCCTTGGAATGGTGGGGCCAAGACCCCCACTCAGCTTGAAGACCTTCACCCAAAGAGTCCTTTGACCCTGTGTCCAGGGCTCAGCCTGGGGCCTGGGGCAGCCCAGGGAGAGGAGGGCAGCCCAGCCAGTGGGTCCTATGTAGCTCTGAGGGCTGTCCAGAAAGAACCCTGCCAGGTGGGAGGCCCCAAGAGAGAAACCCCAGGAAAGAGAGGTCGAGGTTGGGTCAGGGGCACTGCAGAGGTCAGGGGCGAGGCCACTGCCGAGGTGTGGCGCTGTGCAGAGGGTAAGGGCCAGCAGGCACAGTTGTCACATGGGGACACCAAGGCCTCTTTGCCCAGTGCAGTAATGCCCCTCCCCCAACCCCCAGCCAGTGGAGCAGAAGTGGAAGGAAGGCACCCCCCTCTTCCCACAGTGGGTCAATCTTGGGGTCAGGGTGAGGAGGGAAGGATGGTGCCAAAGGATGAGAACTCAAAGCTTTGATGTAAACAGAGTTTGACTAGTCGATACTGTCAGAAGATCAGCCGGTGCAGGCAGGAGGGGGCCCAGAGCCAGTCAACAGGCTGTGACCTTGGATAGGCTGTAAGAAGAGGGGTGGCTGGATGACCACTGAAGGGAAGGAGCTGCTCATTTGGATGTCACCGTACAAGCAAGGCTCAATGGCATCTGTCATTGCACTAGTCAAGCCTTGAGACAATGCTGTCCTAACCTTAGGAGGTGTGAGGTCCTGGCAAGACGGGCTGCAGCTCCTGGGCCTCCCGTGAGCCACTCTGGTGCCTCAGCCTGGCCAGAAAGCTCACCTGCCAGCAGGCCCCAGTGTACCTGAGTTCTAGCTGGGGTGGCTGCAGGACACAAGGGGACAGAGGCAGCCCAGGCCTGGGGGGCTGGGAGCAGACTCTCCCGAGCTGCCCCAGAGCCCAAGGCCTCCAGGGGCCCCATGGCAGCAGCTGGGAAGTGTCACCTCTCCCACAGAGTGATGGAGATGCAAAGGATTACTCAAAGCCCATGTCTTCTGAGCAGTGAGAAGCCCTGAAGGGGTTAATTTCCACAAACCCAAGAGAGGAATTCCTTACAGAATTAACACTGAACCAGGGTCTTCTCTCATTATTTTTTCTCCAGGCCAGAAAGTTACAGAAAAGGAACACAGGTGGTTACAAAAGAACAGTAAGATAATGGTCATAGCAACAATCATTAGGTTTAGCTGCACCAAGGACATCTGCCCTTGGAGCCAGCGATTTTGCTGTGTTACAATTCTTTATCTACAATAGAGACTTTAACCTGGGGAAAGTTTTTTTGTCTTTTGCAAGCTTAACGTTTCTTTTTTTTTTTCCAAAAGGTGACTGGTAAGGGGATCTTAACCCTCGACTTGGTGTTGTCAGCACCACGCTCAGCCAGTGAGCGAACCGGCCATCCCTATGTGGGATCTGAACCCGGGGCCTTGGTGTTATCAGCACCACACTCTCCTGAGTAAGCCATAGGCTGGCCCTGCGAGCTTAACATTTCTATGTGTAATTCCTTTTTTTAAAAAGAAAAGATGACCAGTAAGGGGATCTTAACCCTTGACTTGGTGTTGTCAGCACCACACTCTCCCAAGTGAGCCATGGGCTGGCCCTCTATGTGCAATTCTAAAAAGTTAGTATATACCTGAAACTACAGGGCCTTGGAAGCTAGGCCCTGTGAAATACACTTGCTTTATTAATGTTAGTATCCTCCACAGGGAAGGTTGGGCCTCAGGAGGAGGGGAAGCCATGTGCACTGAACGATGGCCTGGGACTGGCCCCTCCCTGTTTCTCCTGGAGTCCTGGGTCTGCCTCCAGGGGCCAGAAGAGAAGGCACCAAGCCCAGTTCGTTCCTCCCTCTTGGGGGAGGGGACCTAGAAATGCTCCCTTCTCTGCAGCTCAGGTGCCTGGACCTTATTATGTGGGGTCAGCCTGCTGGGGCCCACAAGGAGGAGTGGTCCCCAGAGTGGACCAGAGTGGTCTCCCAGACAGTGTTTAGCCATTCTTACAACTGGCAGAACAATTTCCTTGGTTTCCAGCAACTCGAAAACCGCATATGATTTTCCACAGTCGGGTGCCCCCCAGGCCTGGCTGCTGAGTGAGCAGAGTTCATGCTGAATTCCTTCCACCCACCGCAGGGCAGACAATGGGCCCAGCTGTGGGGAGACTCGGCTGGGGCGGAGGGCACCGCAGCAAGGCGGGGGCAGTCTTCCAGCACTAATGAGTAATTCTGCAGCCTGAAGATCTGGGAAGAAGGCATGTGACAACTCAGTATGACAAGCAGTCCAGTGTTAAGTCAGAAGGAAGGAGGAGACGTTCAAAATGGGTCTAGTGGGAAAAATGTTTGACCTTACCTCACAGCTTTATCAGAATTAACAACAGACAGATTAAAGATGTAGGTGTTAGAAGAGAAACCACGGAAGTATGTATAGGCATCTGTGTTTATATTCTTGGTGGGGCATAACTTTCTTTTTTTTTCATTTTTGTCTTTTTTACTGACCGGTAATGGGATTGCAACCCTCGGTGTCGCACCCGCACTGGGGACCAGCAACGG